CATATGTCTAAGACATAGCCCTAAACATTTTATATAGCTGAATAGCACGAGGTAGATATATATGTGGTATTATTACAATCCTCATTTTATATATACAAAAATTGTAGCTTACAGGGTTTAAAGAACTTGCCAGAGGTCAATCTGCTAGCAAGTGGCAGAGCTGGCACAGAAACTCCCACTCTTTCATTCAACAAGTATTGTCTGAGTGTGTACTTTATGGCAGGTACTATGCAAGGCACTGGGGACAGAAAGATAAAAAACAAAATTGTGGTCTCCGCCCACACAGAGCTTGCACATCTGGTAGGATACACAAACACAAACAAATGTAATATTTCGACTACAAAGTGTGCTCCCTGAGTAGAGGCAGCTTAACTGTTTTATGTGTCTTCCTATATAAATCCTTTGCTCCAAACCAGTTTCTTTTTTGGACAGTGGTATATGGCCATCCCAGTAATCTCAAACACTTATCTCATCCTTCTGGTTTACCTCTTTTAATCTTCATGTCCTCCTAAACTGTTCATCATCTCCTCCATGACTTTCTTTTTCACTTCCAATGCCATTTGCCTACCCGCTAATTGAATTGTGTGCAACGCTCTCGTGATTAATTTCTATTTCCAGTTTGTGGCATCTCCAATTCATCTAAAAATTCTGCCTTCAGGATGTCACTCCCCTATTTAGAATCCTACAATAGCTCCCTCATACCTACGTAGTAAGTGTAAACGTCTCAAAATAGTGCTTTTTTAACTCTGAAGAAGTAGCTGCTACATCTGCAGAGGCCTGAATTCACTGATCTCCTCCAAAGATCCATACGTATATTTCTAAGCCAGTACACTGTTTTAGTGAAGCTTCCTATGTTAATATCTGATAGGAAAACTCACTATTCTCTCTGTCTCGGAATAAAACTTTAACTTAGATTAAATATATCTTTATTCCAGATTTCCACTCGAGAGTATAAGCTTGAGAGACAAGCTTTTGAAATAATTTAAAGATAGAATTTAAAACGTAAATAGTGCAATTTTTTATTTTTCATTCTTAACTTCTAAATCACTGTAGTATTTTACAACCAAAATTATTAACCACACGTCGGTTTTTAAATAAAGACATATGTTCTAGGAAACTAAAAGAAAAATCACTTCCAGTAATTTCTTAATATAGTTTATACTCTACCACACAGGTAGACTGTTCTGCTCAGGTATAATGCAGTAGTTCATGTTCTACAATTTATTCTGTCAACAAAGTAGTTAATAAGTATTCTTTGCTTTTCTGGAGTTTGAGCAGTAACATAATAATAGTATTTGGCAAGAATTAATAGTGTAAGGTAACTCTGAAGCCTCTAAGAAATCAGGCTTTTCCATCTATCTTAGAAAATTCCATTATAAGAATTGTTCTCATGCTAATTCCTACAGGATTTCGAGAAGTGTTATTTCGCAAGCTAATACCTTAAATATTCCACTCAAGGGCCAGCAGGGTCTAAACAGATATGTAGTACTAGGAAAGGTGGGGCAGAAATGTTGTTATTTTTCTTTAAAATCAGAATAACAACTTTAAAATGTTGTTATTTTTCTTTAAGTTACCAATGTGAATCAAACAGGAGTAAAGAAGGGGCTAGATAGTGATCAAATTTGCATTTTAGAAAAGATAACATCAAAAGTTTACCAAATAGAATAAGGTAGAAGTGAAAATGGAAGCTGATTATAGAAACTTTATCATTAACAGTCCTAGTAAGAAATGATAAAAAGCTTGGACTATAAGCTGAGTGACCTTGAGCAAAGTCATTTAACCTCTCTGACTCAGTTTCCTCACATAAAAATGGAAATACCAACTAGCTCATATAATTTAATATACACACACACTTGTGTATATCATATATATTGCAACTTGTAATAAAAGCTCATTAATGTACTAATTTAATAGTTTTCATTTAAATAGCATTAAATAACATAAAGTTGATTTTGGTAAACAGATGCAGGAGAACCAAGAGAATTGTGTCCTAGAAAACTAATAAAGAATAGAAAACCACTAAATCTATACTGGAATATCTAGATGGAGAAGGACTCCACTCTATGGTACACAGTCTGAACCCTCTCTTTTGTCATCTATATACCAGCGGCCCAACCTTCTCAGCAATGGCAAAGGTATGCATGCACTCTCACTCTTATCCTTAAAATTCCCCAAACTCTCTCCCACAATTTAGTTAGAGATTTCTTAAAGTTCTATTTATGACTATCTCACTTTAGGATGAGTAGAGAAAATATTAAATGTCAGGATGTTTAATGTATGACTAACACTGCTTTATAAAAGCCAAAGCCACAGTAAACGCTGTGCTTGTCAACAATTGCTCGTTTCTGGTTTTATTATATTTTGCTCTTCTAAGAAGAAAGAAAAACTAACGGCCATTTAGAAGTAAGCTCTAGTTTCTAACACAGACAACTTAGAGTGAGCAAATTCCAGTATTGTTCTAAAAACCTAGGGAACGTAAACCTGTGAAGCGAAGAACACACACCAGGCAGAACTTCAAGAGGGAAACTGCTGAGTACTTTGACTAACAGTGTTTCCATGAAACATAAAACACTGAATCTGAGAGTCAAATGAGAGCCTGCTGCAGGGGGACATGGGCTTAGATTTACTCTGCTAAGTTTCATCCAAACTGAGTCTATCCATTACTGTTGAGACTTAACATGTGCTATATAATCCCAGACAATCTGAAGAAACAGTGCTATGCCATCAAATATAGTTTTACTTTTCACAAAATAACTTTCCTGGCTCCCAAATACCCACATGACCCAGACTACAGACCTTCCCCATAAGCAAAGTCTGTATAGCAGCAAATGCTTTAGTTCTATACATTTCAATGGGTAATAAGTAATATTAAAAAAAAAAAGCCTCCTTCGATTATAAATGTAAGCAATACTGTTTAGATTGTTAAGAGTTTAAAGGCATACTTACCTATACAAGCAGTCCATATAGTCTGCACCCTTGCTATATTCCTCCCAATACCTATGATACATAACAAGTACTTGCTCTTCGGATTCCAGAACTCTCTATATAAAGAAGAAAAATATTTTTACTTATCATTTTCATTTGTTAAGTCATAAAATTTATCAAAAATTAACATTCTAAAATAATTGACGTAATTTAAGCATTATGAATTACATTTATAAGCTACATACTAACTACCTTTAATAACAATGAAACAACTAGAAAAAAAATATGTCTTAGATATGAAAGTGAAGCATCCATACTAGAGAGTAAATTATTTCATTCCCTAGATAAAGAACAAAATGTAATGGTTTGATGCTGTCTTTGGGCTAGAATATTATATTAAGATCAGTTTAAAATAGAATGTAATTCAATTGCTGTGTATCTATGTGTTTCTTCAAATATATCACATTTGATCAACCTGCTAAGTAGATCAGTAAATTATCAGACTGATATATCATCACTCTAAATTATTCACTTCTGTAAATAAAACTATTTATGAAAATTGACACCTTTTCCATATTCCCCAAGTTGTTTTATATTTACTTAATAGAAATTTATTATTTTCTGAAAAATGAAAATCAAACTGAAATCTGAGGTCTAATTTTTAAAAAGTTATTTTTGAAGGAAATCTAGGCTAACAATAAAAACACAGTAGACTGAAATTCAGGAGGCATTAGGTTCTCCTATTTCAGTTCTTTCATTAACTCATTAATTGTCCCTATGACCTTAAAAAATCATGACATCAATTTTCATCTAATTCATTCTATAAAGAAATACTATGCTTTTAAACTTGGTATTTTAACAATGAAGACTCAGGACAATACAAATAACCTAAAAACAGTATTTTTTCCTTATATATTGGTAAATAAATTAAAAATAGCAACTATTAATAATTCTGGGGAACTGCTGTTACTGGTTTGATAGAATATAAATCCATGAACCATTTGTTACTATATGTCAAAAAAAAACTAAAACATGTTCATGACCTATAAACCAGTAATTCCATGTCTGCGAATTTATCCTAGAAAAAACTTTGTTACATAAAAAAATGTTTTTTAATAAAAATTTTTTAAACTTGGCTGCAAAAAAGTAATTTACCTATAACAATGTTCACAGAAGTATTATTTAAAATAGCAAGTTATATAAATTGGAAATAATCATATGATCAGCAATATAGGAATATTTAAACAAATCATAGTATCTCCACACCATGAAAAATTTTGCAGTCATTGCCAGTAATATAAAAGCCTATTGAATGACAAAGAAAAAGACTTAGGATATTATTAAAAACAAAAAGATTTTAAAGTATATAACATGACCATTTTCAAACAAAAAACAGAAGTCTACACAAAGCAAAAAAATGCATTATAGAAATTATCAAATCAAATTACATATATATTAATATGTACCAAAATAAATAAATTCAATATAGATGTCAAAAATATTAACAGTGCTTAATTCTGGAAGTATGTTATGGGTGATATTTTTCTCTTTTTGCTTATCTGTATGTTCTAAATCATCTATAATGTTAATGTAATATTTTATTAATTAAAAACGTTCCCTCCCCCAATCAAATCAAATTTTTCCCTCACAGGTGAAACTGATTCTGTTGGCTATATTAATGATTTACTTTGACACCTACACATTAGCCAACTTTTTTTGTTATTGGGTCTGAGAACATATGATTTATAATTATATAAGATTATAAACACTCATAAAACTATTTCACAATATCATTTTAAATCATACAACTATACCAATGCTAATTTCTTAGTTTTAATACTGTACCACTTTTATGCAAGACATTAAGAAGCTGGGTAAAAAGTATATGAGAGCTCTCTGTACTATTTCTGCAACTTTAAGTCTAAAATTACTTCGAAAATAAGTTGTTTTTTTTTTAATCACACTTACAACCTATGATAAAATGCAAAATTTATAAGTGCCTTACACCGTAATCAATTATGGTACCACTAAAGCTCACTATAGCTCACCACAGAACTTTAAAGGTTAACATATTAATCATTTTTAGACCTATTTAAAGCACTTATCAAAACCGCTTTCATGAGCTGGTAAAAGAACACACTAGATCACTGCATCTGCATTTTCAATAAAAAGTACAGCATTTCCTTTGAATGTTTTAAAGGAAATATCACATGATCGACTAAGCTCTAGTTGTGAGTTATCCACTGTAAAAACTGTCTGCTCCGAGCCTTGTGCAGGGTCAGACATTAGATTGTGTTGTTTTACCTTCATTTTATAAAGAAACTTAAAGCTCATTTCATAAGGTAGGTTATGTGAGCTGCCCATGGTCACAGCTAATATAAGGCAGAGTCAAGTTGCAGCCCATACAATAAATGATCTCATCCAGTTCCCGGTAAGATCAGTAGATCAAAATAAATTAGAAATGCTGTTGATAGCCAAATACTGCAAAATTCATTCATTGTTTACGCGCAGATCAAGTCTGTGATGCTGCCCTCTTACATATGGCATACTAATCAAAATAACTGGTCAGAGAGAGAGTTTCTATAGTGCTTTTTAGTTTACCATTTCTCTTTTTAATTTTAGGTTTTTGTAAGACTTTAGGATAGAAAGAGGCAGATAAAAAATTGAAAATAAAAAAAGACGGAGATTTACCAAGAGGTGAGAAGCAATATCAAGAGAAAACTATAAACAGCATCCAGAGGACAAAGGAGCACATTTTTAAAAGTGAACAAATATTGACTTGAAACCCTACTCTTTCACTTACTGCCTGAAGGATCTTGAGCGACTATTCTGATTTTCTTTGTGAGAACCTAACAACACAGTGTTTGACTCATAGATCGTGAATATAATTAGAAAAATGCTACTTAGGAAACAAAATAAATCTTAATTTGATATAAGTTCTGCACTGCAAAACAGTCAACAAGTCAAATAATTATGCAGCTGCAATATTTATGACCAGTATTTATATCATATATGTATCACTCCTTACCTTGTGCAAATGCCGTACGTGATTTTCCAAAAAAATTTTAGTTTCTGTATAAAGTCTTTCTCCAAGGGGTTCAGGATAGGCCACACATAAAGCATAGATATCTCTAGTTAAACTGTTAAGGTTTTCATATTCACTAGGGGTACTACATTAAAATAAATGAGATTTAACTCGTTTTACACTATAAAATGAAAAATCAGTATTTCGTTTCTGTGGTTTAGGATTATTTAAACATAGATATAGAATAAAAGGTAAAATATATAATCATGCTTAGTTTAAAAAGCACTATTAAGAATCATTCGTTTATTCATTCAACAAATATCGAGAATTATTTCATAGCATTACAAAGAAAATTGTTCCTCTCAGTGTGGTTAAAATTCATTGGGGGACTCTGGGAAGTCAAGTTACCTAGAAACTTACAAAATAAGGTTTACATAAGAAAGGACATAAGCATAATATCAACAAAGGGCTATGAAATCCTACAGCTGCAGATATTTCTGAGAACAAAAGTTACAAAAATTACTCATTTGACACATTTTCCCACATCATAGTACTCCATCAGAATATTCTACAATCTACCCATAGCATTTATTCCATTAGAATTATAGTACGAATAGTAATATCAATAAATCAATTAAGTTTTTGAACATCTACTAAGTACCTTGCTAAGTATCGCAGGTGATAGGTACACTACAGAGAGTTCTGAATCAGGAGTCAGAGTAAATGAGATCTGCCTGAAGCATTACCTTTACTAGCCAGGGACTTGACCAAGTCTCTAAATCCTTTATTTTTAATCTGTGCTGTCATTTCCTCAACTCTAAGATAAGGATAACAAACTCTCTCCTGACATTTCTAGAAAATCTTTGTAAGACCCAAATAAGTCATGTATGTTAAAGTGCTTCATAAACTATGTGTCACTCACCAAAGGTGGAAGATGAAAGCACACATGAAGCAATCTGAGACCAGCTTAATTAGAGATGCAGACAAAAACTGAAAAAAAAAGGTTATTTAGGACGGAGTCAAGTATTTATAGTTAATATAAGGATCAGGAAATATCACACAATAAAAATGTGTGCTTAAAAATATATCCAAGGTAGAATGTAGGTCCTTCTCCCTTTATAATTCTCATAACATTTTATATATTCTTCTTCTATAGTTCCTAGCACATAACAGGCACTTGTTAATCTCTTGGTGGTGCAAGGAAAGTAGTGATCAATGTCACATGCTCTGCCTATCAACCCTGTATTGTTACTCTGGAAAAAGCAAGCAGCCCTCTTTACATGGAAGTCTGATAGATGTCAGTCAGACTTACTCATGTTCTTTCTAAATCCTTTATTTTTATTTAATATTATTAATAAAATATCTTCATGTATATATGCATATTTCAATATACTATTAAATATAAACAAAAATTTTTCTTTAAGGAAAACAAACATGATGAAGCCAAAATATCATTCATATAGTAGAATATCACTGTGCCAGGTTTTTTGTAACAAATATATATATAATAAGAAACAATCACAATTATTTTAAATCAACTTAGATACAATAATTAACCTTTATAAACTAGATTATCTAAGTTAAATACTATATAAGAACTAGCAGCAATAACATATCAAAATATTAACCTATATTACAAAAAAAATAGATTTGATTACATATCACCTAAGAAAAAATAACTTAGAAATTTCTCTGGACACAAATTCTATAGAGAATAGATAATGGTTTGGTGGAGGGGAGATGGAGCAAGGCATTAATAGAGAAGGTGCTTCACAATATTAAATGAGAGCTCCAGGGTCCCGCTTGGAGTCCCTCTCTTTTTCGGCTATAAATTCCTTTAAAAAAAAAATAATAAAAGGTCTCAGTTCACTACACAATTTAAATCTATGAGTTGTGTTCTGTTTTGTTTTACCATAGTTATATTCAATATCAATTACTTGTCACAAACTTACCGTAGTGAAAACAGATACAAAAGAAGTTATGAGAGTTAATGTATTAGAATTCACGATAGTGGTTAAGTTTAGTGACTGAGAGTGCTTCTGGGAGTTTCCATTTATTGAATGTACGGATATGTTCACTTTGTAATAATCTGTATTTTTCATAAGTCAGTATGTGTATTATACTTAAACAAAAATTTTATTTTTAAAAGACTAACTTTAGCCAGGATCTAGATCAACAACCCTTTCAGCAAAGGTGTGATGTATTTAATATCTCCAAGTTCTAAATACCTACTTCCAGAATTTTCATCCAATGTTTGCTCTACCTTTTTCTTAAGCCAGATACACACTTATTTCTAGAACATACAACTTACTTGATATTGAAAAATTAAAATGATTCGATACCATAAACTCAGCATAATATGCTAATTATGTGCTCAAATATTTTACATCATCAAAATTAGTATCTCAATATAACCACTGCATTACACGTAAACAAAACTGATTATAAGGATTCACACCACAGGGCTTACCTTAGGAAAAACACATCTGTGCAGGAGAGGGAATACAGGGAGACTTTCCCATTTCCATGTGTAAGAGTTATATATTGTCTTCTTCAGTGAGAATGTATTCATATATTTTTAATGGAATCCACCTTAATAAATTTTTTAAATTAATATTTTAACTTACCATAGTTTGGGGTCTCAGTTAACCACTTTATTTCACTCAACTGCCTAAAAGATATTCCTAAATACGTTCTTTTTCTCTAACTTGTTCAAATATCCAAGCGCCCCGGAAGAACAACCAAGAAGGTCACTTTTTAAGACATTTTAAAGATGAAAAATGGGAAATAACTAGAGGTCAGATTTAGATTTAAATATTCTTTCCCAAAGTCATTTTTGCCTTAAGTCACTCTTAGGGAGCCAGAACATAAAAATTCCTCTATTTATGAACTATCCACTTAAAAATTCTCAGTCAGAAACAAAACTGTTTCAGATCAAACTCTGTTGCAAACAAAAAGAACTGTTGGCCAGCAACAAAATTACTTATTTTAGTTCATTTTCTCCATTAAAAGGTGCTTCCTATACTTGGGCTTAATTTTGAGTTTTAATACTATTAACTCTATTGTATAAGTAGGTCACAATGAGTTTTGAAATGACAATAAAAGATTATCTTAAACTTGAAAATGGTAAGACGACCAAAAAAGAATTTATTGACAATAAAAAATATTTATTGACATTCCTGAAAATAATAAAAATGTAACATATAAAAAATGAATCAGTGAAATCGATTAGAATCAGCATCGGCATCAAATATTAGTCTGATTTCATTTAGAAGCATGGAATGAAATTGTTGCTGATGCACCAACCAGAGACAACTACAGATAAAACTTTTCCTAACTATACAATCTAAAGAAAAGTGATGGGTACTAAAAGTGTTACTTATGCCAAGGTTACTAAGAAGTTCTCCTTCTAATACCTCTGATGATTGTCAAGAATGGAGACTGCCTGCCTCAACATTCCTCAATGTAGTCAAACTGGTCTATGTTTGAAAAAGATGCCTGATAGAATACATATTAGAAATGAGGATAATAGTATGCCTGATTTTAAAGCTTGGTTTTCATAGGCTGGAATACATTCAGGGAAGGCAATCTTGTTTTCTTTTAGTTTTTTGGTTTTTTTTTTTTTTTTTAAGTTTCAAGTATATAGTACATTGGTTAGGCATTTATATAGTTTATGATAGTTTATGAAACGATCTCCCCAATTGCTCCTTCCCTCCTCTGGCTCTACACCTACCTAACCATTACATTAATGCTAGCTGCATTCCCTATGCCGTGCTCCCCATCCCTGTGACCATCTATCAACTACTAATTTGTACTTCTTTAACCCTTCACCCCTTTCTCCTAGTCCCCTAACCCTCTCCCCTCTGGCAGTACACCTGATTGCCCTCTGTATTTGTGAATCTTTCTTCGATTAGTTTGTTTTGTTCCTTAAATTTCACACATAAGTGAAATCATATGGTATTTATCTTTCTCTGACTTAATTTCATTCAGCATAATGAATAGGTCCATCCATGTCATTTCAAATTGTAGGGCTTCATTTTTTTTTTTTTGGCTAATAGTCCATTGTACATATGAACCACAACTTCTTTTCCAACTGTCTGTTGATAGGCATTTAGGTTGCTTCCATATCTTGGCTATTGCGAATAGTGTTGCTGTGAACAAAGGGGTGCATAGATCTTTACGAATTAGTATTTTGGTTTTCTTTGGATAAATACCCAGAAATGCAATTGCTGGGTCAAAAGGTGGTCCAATTTTAATTTTCAGAGGAACTTCCAGACTGTTTTCTATAGTGGCTATATCAATTTGCAATCCCAGTAACAGTGTATGAGGGTTCCCTTTTTCCCACATCCTCATCAATGCTTGTTGTTGTTTTTTAATTTACTGATGATAGCCATTCTCACAGGTGTGAGATGATATCTCAGAGATTTTAATTTGCATTTCTCTGATGGTTAGTGAGTATCTTTTCATATATCTTTTGGCCATCTGTATATCCTCTTTGAAGAAATATCTATTCAGGTCTTCTGCCCATTTTTTAATTGGACTTTTTTGTTGTTGTTGAGTTATATGAGTTCTTTATATATTTTGGATACTAAACTCTTATCAGATGTATCATAAGTCAACATCTCCCATTCAGTAAGCTGTCTTTTCATTTTGATAGTTTCCTTTGCTGTGCAAAAACTTTTTAATTTGATGTAGTCCCATTTTGTTTGTTTGTTTGTTTGTTTCCCTTGCCCAAAGAGATATATTTGAAAAGAAATTACTAGGAGCAATATCAGAGAGTTTGTTGTCTATGTTCACTTCAAGTTTTATGGTTTCGGGTCATACATTTAAGTCTTTAATCCATTTTGAGTCTATTTTTGTATATGGTGTAAGAAGGTGATCGTTTCAATTTTTTGCATATATCTGTCCAGTTTAGGGAAGGCAATCTTAAATCTCCTTTTGCTTAATCATCTTAAACTCATATAAAATCATTTAGAAGCTAACTCGACCTTACGTAGGAGAGCTTTTATATTACACTGCTGGAGTTTGGGAATTGTTCTAACAGCTACCAAAAGGCAGAAAACCATAAATAAAAGTAAGCCAAAACAACCAAAAAACTCCAACCCAGAAAAACAAATAGTAAATGCAGATTTACACTTAGCCTCTATCTTATCATGAGAGCAATTGATATACATACTCAAAGGGTAAATTCCAAACCATCCTAGAGACTGCACCAAAGCTATCATAAAGCTTTTGTTATGAAGCATCATTATTGCTTGTGTTAGGCAGAATTCTAAATATGGACTCCCAAAATTTCCTACCCTAATATCTGGGACTGTGAATATAAGATATCACACCCATGTTACATTACATGGCAAAAAGGGACTTCGCAGTTGCAATTACGATTACTAATCAGTTAGCCCTAAAATAGGGAGATTGTCCTAGACTTTCTTGGCGGATCTAATGTTAATCCCAGGAGCCCTTTAAAAGCAGATCCCCACCAATCTCTGCCCCACTGTAGCTAGATGCAATAGGAGAAGTCTGAGAGAATTGAAGCACAGAAAGCTTTGACGTGCCACTTCTGGCTTTGAAGATAGAGGTGAGTAACAAGTAATATCTGGAGAGTGACCACAAATCACTGAGAGCAACTTCTGGCCAACAGTCAACAAAGAAACAGGGACCCCAGTCTCAAAACTGCAAAGAACTGAATTCTGCCAATCAACAGGAATGAGCTCAGAAGAGGACTATGAGCTCTAGAATACATTTTAGGCTTATGAGATCCTGAGCAGAGAACCCAGTCACACCATGGACTTCTGATCAACAGAACTGTGAGAAAATTAAGAGTGCTTCTTTAAGCCAGCAAATTTGTGTTAATTTGTTATGCATGGAAAATTTTTTATATTTTCTATTTACATTAATTATCAACCAGATGCCTGGCATATATACCTGGACCCAGTACATTTATGCAGGAGTATAAAAAGTTCCACTTATCAACAAAATAAGAGAACTAGCCATATGTTAGTGTTGTTTCATCTGCACAGCATGCTTAATGACATTTAGTTGATAGTAGCTATTCAATCACCAGATATTTGCTAGGTGTCCATATGTCCCATATAATGGGAATATAGCAATAACGAAATGGACATGAATTCTTGCCTTTATGGAGCTTATATTTAGTAAAAATGTTTGTGAACAAGGGTTCAATAAGTTCCATACTTACACATGTTAAACACTTCAATTGGCAGCCAAGCTTCCTTAATGCTAACTGCAAGAGTATAGATTTCGGCATTTTTACCTCAGGATTCTACCCTACAATATCAGTAACTCAGATCTTAATCCTCTTAGGCTACAAAATTCTCAACTGTAAAATAGGGCTAATACATATTTTACAAGGTCATCTGTAAAAAATGAATTATAGAAACATATATACATTGGAAGAAAAAATGACAAAAGAATGTACAAGCATGATTTCATTTAAGTTCAAAACATAGAATTAACCAATATTGTTTAGCGTTGTATGCATAAGCAGTTATACTGCTTTTAGAAAAATAGGAAAACAATAGATGCAAAAGTTAGAATTGTGGTTACCTCCAAGGGAAAGGATAGGGCTTGTGAACTTAGAGGGACATGTGGTGGTGTGGGGTTGGTGAATGCTGGCAGTGTTCTGGTTCTTAGCCAACCTATGTGGTGATTATGCAGGTGTTTGCTTTATAATTTGTCTTAAAATCTTTTCTACATATATATTATATTTCGCACACTCAAAAAATGCTTTATAAAAGATCAAGTAGTAATACATAGGGTAATTCCCAATTTTGGGGGGCTTTTTTTCATTTTCAAAACATTAAAGTGTCATGGCCTCTAAAATTCTACCTCTAGTATCCGAGGGTCAGAAATCAACCTTATATTCTTGGGCAAAATAACAGGGAAACAGTGGGAATTCTACTTTAAAACAAATAACGCAGCCCTTATTTTTCAATTAAAATTTACTATTTTTGCAGGTTATTTTTATTTTAGGCGGGGGAAATATCTATGATGAGGTCAAGAATAACTGGATCGAATAATAAACATCTTAGAAATAATAGTGACTGAAGGGCCACTTTCTGGAGAAGTGATCTATTTTAAAACCATTTAGAAACCAGCCAATTAAGTGTATATTCTATACAACAACAAAGAATACATTTAATTATTTTCTTTTTCTTTACCTTATGCTCATTTCCCCTTTTCTTGTAATCTTCTATGACCAATTCTCTTCTCTCTCTGCTCATTATTTTAGTTAAAATAGCCTTAAAATACTTGCCTAGCCAACCTTATTAACACACAAGTAGCCTTTAAAACTTTTTCAATTTTTATTAAGATTCCTACCCAAAAACAATCCATAATGACGCAAAGAAAAATTTAAGAGACTAATACTAGGCTCTTCAAAGGCAAAAATCCATATCAATTATCCTCTAGGTAAACTGGAAAATATAGGGAATTAGATGTTAGAAACCTTGTATTCAAGTCTGTGCTCCATCAGTTACTACCTACCTGAATGACCCTAGGCAAGTCCCCTTACCTCTGAGTATCTGTTTCCTCATCTCTTACATAAAAACTACAATTATATTTGCCCCACTGATCACATAGGCTTGTTTGTTGTACCAAATGACATAAAAAATATAAAAGATCTTTGCAAACTACAAAGCCTTCCACAAACATTACCATCGTTTTATGTATCTTTAGTGCTCAGAACATAAGTAGCCTAACGAATGTTTCTTACTGACTACAACAAATGTAATTAATTAAATGGTTTCCTGTTGGTCTAAAAGAACTCCACTGTTCTTACATCAACATTCGGCTTAATATTAACAATTGAGGCACCGAGAACAAGTTAAATTACACTGTCTTATGAAACCCAAGCGTTTCTAAAGAACACATGCCCCTCATGAGGGCAGCCATCCTTTAGCCCCAGAAGACTGCTAGAGGGCAGCACAAAGCTTGAGAGATCTCTGAACTTCCACACATATTCTGGATAATACCTTCACATCTCACCTCTTTTTGGGGAGAATCTCTGGTTCCTACAGTATCCATCCAGTCCCCAAGGCCTCCGTCAGGGCCCTGGGACACTACCAAACCAGTGGGACCCAGAGACGCAGGCCTCAACCCTATCCCCTTTCTTCACTCTGAGATAAGACGTATGTCGTATTTCCTATGATAAAAGACTGAGGTGGTTCGAGTCCACTAGACATGTTTAATGTATATACGTTGTCCCCATGCCTACCCCGCCTTGGCCGCTGGCAGACACTGGGCAGAGTTGGTAAGACCGCTATCCACTACTTTGCCCCAGGTATCTGTGGCCGAGGGTTCTTAGAGCTCCCTTAACCTCCCAAATACTAAAACGCTGAAGTCTTTTAATATTTTGCTTTTTTTCTTGGTTGCCAGAGTTTATACCCTGAGATTGCACTGTTTTTTGTATATATAATGTATATATAATATTATGTAAATTACATATTATACATATTATAATCTACATATAGAATACATATTTTTTAAAAACACTGCTGTCATGTAGGAATGCAGAATACCAAGTTTCAGATTGTCCTAGCAAATTTGTCTTTTATATAGAACTCCTAATTTACAAATATAGATACCCCAATTAAAAACATGTGTCTGTCTAATAATCACTGAACTTGCTGTTCATTCTTTCCCCCCAGATATCTGTAAGACTTGCTCCCTCATTTTGTTTCAGTCTCTGCTCAAATATCACTGTCCTCAGGGAGGTATTCCTTAACCATCTCTTCTAAAAAAGCCACTCACATAGGCACTTCAACTGTTCTCCACACACCTGTATGTTACATGCCGCTGAGTGGGCTGTTTCCTTGCAACCGTGTGAATGAGTGATATCCATAACACCCTGTTCAGCTTCTATAGACTCCTGCCTATGGCTTCTTTTATGGAGTCACTCCATCTCATATTGGTCTTCCCCTTTTCCTGTTGCCTATTTTTTCCAGAATTACTATCTTTTCCAAAGAACCCTGCTTTCTCACGATCTGCCAGAAATGACAGCTTTCATTTTATCACTTTTGTCTCCAGAGACGTTTCAGGCTTAATTTACTCTAGGACCCACTTGTCTTTCTGGTGGTCCAGGGTGTCCGCAGAGCTCTCCTCCAACATCATATTTAAAATGAAACCAATTTTTCCTTATCAGCCTTCTTCGCTGTCCAACTTTTACATCCATACATAGGAACTGGGAATACAAGGTGGTGGATGATCTTAGCCTTGGTCTCTAACCACACATCTTTGCTCTTGATAATCTTTCCCAGTTCTTCCACTGCTGCCTTTCCAAATTCCCAGCCTTCTCTTGATTTCCTGTCTGCAGTCTTCACTTGAATTGATGATCCTTATCCTGCTTTATTTTTTCCTCATAGTATTTATCACTACCTGCTATTAGAAGCACTGACATTAGATTTTTTGTTGTTGTTTATTGCCTGTTTCTATTAGTAGAATGAAGGCAAAACAGTTTATTTTGTTCACTCACAACTGTATTCCAAAAGCCTAAAGTAATGCCTAACATATACTAAGCGCTCAATAAGTATTTATTGAATGAAAGGTTATCGAAGATTAATGACTGCCACATATAGGTAAACTTAGAAATGTAAATAACATATTTGAAAACAGTCGCAATGGAATGTTCTTCCATTTACATAAGCTTAAACCTGTTCTCACTTTTGAACAAGTTTATCAATTATAGGACATTTATCAATGTTCATTCACACATTTATCAATACAATGTCATCAGTACAAGAACATTTATCAATGCCACTAAAAGGATACGAGAAGCGATCGTTCCATGTTGCTCTTTCGACGTATTCCAACATGACAACAGCTTTGATTGTCGTTAAAAGTTTGTTCCATGTTTCATCAAAATCTACTACTCTTGGTTTCAAAGACATTGTGCAAGTTTAGTGTTGAAATCTGTCATATGAAAAAAAATAGTAATGTTAGCATGAGTTCTACAAGATCACTTATTTGTTTCTAAAGTACTACATAATTAAATAGCATAATAGATGGAAGGGGTGAGAAAAGAACCTGGCGCATAATAAGAACACAATAAACATTGGCTACTATCTTTTCATGACTTTCCAGACAAAGAATTCCACAGAATATCTGCATTCGTTACAAACTCTAGGAAATTGAAAGCTTTTAATACAAACTATTTATAATCGGGAGTGTCGTTCCAAAGATTTAGAAGCCTCATTTATTGTGCTAAGGAAAAGAAAGTGGGACCTAGACAAAAGGTCAACTCTCATCATGAGAAATATGCAAGAGATACTCAATAAAAAGGTGTGGGTCCCAAATCCTTAAACTAGGAAATGAGGTGGTATGCAGGGAAATATGAAAATACACAAAAAAATAAGTTTAGGTAAAAAATTAGAGAGGAAATTTATATTTACATTAAAATAAAGATGAATTGCAGAGCAGAAAGTAAAATTCACATGAACTTTTAAGATAAAAGTTAAAGATTTCAAAGAAATATCAGGGTTGCTCCTTCTCAGATCCTCAGGGTATCTAGCCCCATTGCTCTAATGAAAAGCACAACCGTAGCATGCAATTCCTGGCTCAGGTGAACTTGACCAGCCTAGTAGTAAGCTGAAAGACTCCTTCTTCCTAGCAGACAAGCTGTATTCTAGGAGTTAGCTGGTTTCTGGAACAAAAAGGTCCCAAGATTATAGAAACTCGCTTCAAAGGCTAGATTCCAAATCCTTCTCAATATCACATCAGAAAGACAGAATTAAAAGAGAAACTTTTTAAAGTTAAATTTAAGTGCACAAGGGAATGTTTTTCTGGCACGTGTTTTAACACCTTCCCAGTTTTCCCTTATTACTGGGACTGTGAAACACCAAGCTAATCTGTAAACAAGGAGAAACATACTTCCTCTGGTCTTACATTGTGGGGAAAAGGGGGACAGGGAAACAATGGGTGTGGGGATGAATACAGAGAAAAGGAGACAAGAAAAAGAAACCAACTGAATGTCCCCAGTCCACAACCAAAGATGGCCCTAGGTCCTTCTTACATTTCTATCCTATGAAGAGAAAATAACTCGAGGAGTCCAAGGAATAGACTTCAAGGAAGAGAAAGAAAAGGCATCACAGAGAAGCCAAACAAAAATCCAAGAGGGTGTGCAACAATGAATCTGAGCTCTTTCCTCAACATAACAAAGACTCCACCTCCAGGCCTTAAATTTCCTGTACTAAAATGGATTAGCAATAATTTCAGTGTGTGTGTGTGTGTGTGTGTGTGTGTGTGTGTGTTTCGCGTTCGAGGTGGGGGCAAGGACAATGAAGGAGAGAACCTAAAGCTCTAGCTTTGTATCAGGGAATTAACCTTAACTCCTCATCCTTATTTACCACATCCTATGTTCCCGAATATTTCTTAAATCCATCTATTCCTGTGTTCCTACATATGTTCTGGGATCAGGTCCTCAGCACCTCTAGTTTGTATTGATCTTTTATTCATCAAAGAAATAATAATGTTAATATTTACATAGTGCTTGCTAGGGGCCAAGCACTATTCTCAGTGCTTTATATAAACTTACTTAATCCTCCCAACAATCTGATTATGTAGATCCTACTGTTTTCTACATTTTCTAGATAAGAAAACTAAGTCACAGGGTGATTAAGAAACTTGCTTAAGGTCATAGAGCTATATAATGGAGGCATCAGGAAGATTCGAATGTGTGCTGGAGCCCGAGCTCTCAACCACTATATGCAACTATACTGCCTTATTAACATTTTAGTGATTACTTAAATATCAGGCACCATTCTAAGCTCTGAGGATGCAGTGGTCAATAAACAAAGTTCTTGACCTTCAAAAAGATTAGAATTTCAGATCTGGCACTCAAAGACAAAAATAACCCAACTAAAACAAAAAGTTGAAGATATCATACTTTTGTCTTGATGCTTGAAGCCATTGGATGTTTTCCACTATACACAGCATTCAGTTTAAGCTTACTGGCAACACAGACACACCAAGCTTCCAAAATTTGATCTCAGATTAAACACCTCTCCAGCTTCTTCTTCTTCTTCTGAGACTCCTTGACATAATTCAGTAACTTCTTTCTGCTTGGAGGTCATTGAACTGATTCATATACTCTGCTGTTATCTTTATTGCTTTCTATAGCTAAAATTTTTCTATTTCCTTAACCCCCACCTTCCACCCATTCACCTCTTAACTGATATTAAAGCCTTGGTCCAGGATATCTGCTTTTAAAAAACTTTCCTGGCACCACTTAAGCTAGGTAAGGTGCCTGATCTTAAGTATTACATGAGAACTCTATGCTTACTTCTACTGTAACTATCTGAGTATTTCTTGAGGGCAGGGACTTTTTACTAACTGTATTCCAAAAGCTGACAATGTTCTCTTCATGTTAGTTTTTCCCCTTTATAAAAATGGGATATTACACACATTGCTTAAAATTAGTTTAATGGCTGCGGAGACTGCCTTTTAGCTTAATTCAAGTTTTGACAGAATCGCTGATTTCTCTGCTGAAATCAACAGATTTACGGTAGAGTAGGTACCTTTGTAGTAATGATCCATTCTTAGATGGAATGTAGGGAAGTCAAGGTGAGAGAGAAGCATCGGCCCAGTGAAACACACTAAAAACTAACAAACCAATAGCTGAAAGTATGCTGAAATAGTCTGTTAAATTCTCTGCTTGCCTAATAGAAAGCTCATATAACTAAAATATTTAAGTTCCTTCATAGTATTTAAATTGTTTAAATAATAATTTATTCATGGAAAATTTATGTACGGATGTGAAAGAGAGCAAGCAAAGAAACAGGGTCACAACCACTGTACTTTTCTCCATCCCCAAACTGTCAGACAACTCGTAAAAAAAAAATATATATATATATATTATATATATCTTGTTCTTCATTCATGTGTCTTACTAGAGACATGGTCCTATACCTGATATCCTGGCAGGACCACTTCCATTCCCACTCAGTTAAACTGGGTCCCACTGAGTATCAGCAAAGTTTAAATCTTGCATTACCACAATCTCTTCTAGCTTCCTTCTGAGTTCCGCTCACGCAATGTTAGGGCTTTAACACTTATGCACATAGGTACTGTGCCAAAGGCCCATGAGTGTTATGGGTCCTAAAAATAAATTCATATTCTAAATTAAAAATAAAAATAAAAAGGCAAAATAAAAATTCATGTTTGTTTCTAAATAACGTGTCAATATTAATAATATTTTAAAATTTTCCCTTACATTTGAAAATGATTTGCAGATTAGATTTCATTAGAGCACCATTTCTAAATATGTATGGCTGTCAATAATAAATTAAATAACTACAAAAGTGATTAATATAAACATAGTTACCATGACCCAGCAATTCCACTCCTAGGTACATACTCAAGAGAAAACATGTCCACACAAAAACTTGTACACAAATGTTCATAGCAGCTTTATTTATAAAGGCCAAAAAGGAGAAATAATTCAAATGTCTATAAAATGACAAATAGATAACGAGTTATTCTGCAATAAAAGGGAATGAAGTAGTGACAGATGCCATAACATGGATGAACCTCAAAAACATTATGCTAAAAGAATGAAGCTGGTCACAAAAGAACACATATTGTAAGATTCCATTTATATGAAATATCCGGAATAAGTCAATTATAGAGACAGAAAGTGTTTCGGTGGTTGCCCACAGCTAGGGGACTTGGTGAAAAATGGAAAGGATTGCTAAATTAGGTGATGAAAATGTTCTAAAATTGATTGTCATGATGGTTGTACAACTCTGTAAATGTACTAAAAACCACTGAATTGTACACCTCAAATGCATACACTGGATGGTATGTGAAGTGTATCTCAATAAAGCTGTTATACATTTAAGAAGTGAAATAAAAATTCTATCAAAATTTTTAGAGCAATTTAATGTGGAGGCAAGCAATGGGAGAATAGCTACATTTACATGGTTGCAAATTCTGAAATCTTAGTCTTTCACTCCTGTGCTCTAGTCACCAGCTCCTATCACCAGAGGCAATATATATATCTGTCTGGGGGCATTTTACACATATTTACACATAGTTTGTTACTCTCCTCTTTTACATAAATGACTTTTTCATCTGTTTTACTCAATTATACCATTGAGTATATTCGCCCAACAGTACATTTGGGATTCTATATTAATACATAAGGATTTCTTTAATCTTAATAGTATTTCATTGTTTGCCTCTATCTGGATCCATTCTGCTATGTTTGATATGACATAAGATGAGGCCTCCAAAATTAAAGTGCTTAGTTTAATATCAGTAATTTTAAGTTAAATGGTTTTAAAAAAAATAGATTAGTAAGCTCTTTTTACATAGATATTAACAAGGTTTTCTTCTAAGGATTTTAGTAACACAATTTATAAGTTACACTTGCTATATATAATTATTGACGGGAGAAGGAAACTGCAATATTATCATTATCTGTAACTACCATTTATTAAATACCTTCTGTATGCCTTCCATGCTATACATGTTATATATACAAGCACACTAAAGTTGAACCTGCAAGTCAGCAAAGTCCAGACTGTAGGAAACAACTGGATAATCAGATTTCTTCGATAAACTGTGCACAAACATTAGAAAGAGACAGAAAGAGGAGAGGGAGAGAGTTATATCAAGCGGAAATTGACTAAAATAAACTAAAAAGGCACATTAATAAATCAGTGCAATTTACCTTACTTGGATCTAGATTTAAGCTCTTTTTAAAAATCATATTCATGATACCCCTGGAATTTTTAACACTGATGGGATATTTGATTAAAGAATTTATCTTTATAATGATAATTATAAAGTGAGAGTTTTTTTAATGAGTCTCTGTTAGGTACATATTCTAAAACATAAATGTAATGAAATGCTATCTGACATCTACTTCAAAATTAAACAGCTTGCTTATGAGTAGATAATTACTGAGGAAGAGTGACAAGTACACAAGGGTTTATTATGCTACTATTATTTTTGTATATGTTTGCAATATTCCAAATTAGAAGAGTAAAATAAATCTTCATCATCATTAACAGTTTCACAAATACGGTGGGGGGGGAAGTACATAAAAGAAATCAGGAAGCTTTAAAAAAAGTATATTAATCTAAGACGTCTAACATTCAAGCAATATGTATTCTAGAAAAATGGATAAGTCAATACTGTTATACTGTGTGTATATATATCTCAACATAAGCACATTCAAACCTATACAAATTTTTATAAAAATCTGAGTCAAACAGGATATTCCTGGAAGCAAGATCCCAACACATTGAGAAAAATGCTTCAAAGAATAACAGTTTGTAGTTTCTTTTATGCTTCTGAGATTAATGAGGGAAAATAAGAAAGATTATATAAAGGTGGGAGAAAGCAAGGTAATTATAGGATTACAGGTTAAGATCATGTGCTCTTTAAGATGTACAAAGCGCCAGTATAAAAACAGTCAAGGGGATGCAAGGTACAGCATAGGGAATATAGTGAATAATACCGTAATAATACGTATGGTGTCAAATGGGTACTAGACTTTTTAGGGTCATCATTTCTTAAGTTATATAAATGTCTAACCACTATTTTGTACACGTTAAAATAATATTTGTATGTCAACTAATTGAAAAGTTTTTTAATTATTTAAAAAAAGATTCTGTGTTCTCTTGAAGGTGGTCGTACTTTAGAAGGAGAGGTATGAAAAGAGGCATTTCTAAGGTGTGTTAACTTATATGCACAGAAACAACGAACAAGCCTTGCTTAAGGCAAAAATAAGCCTGTTATTAAAGATGTTATATTCCTGTGGCATGACTACCCACCAGGACCTGCCTAGTTAGGAATTTATCATCAGATCATCCTGGGAGGTTACTTTCCATAGAACCCATTTTTTCATACACACATACCAAAACTGAAGAACATGAGGTTTTCAATTAAAAATTCCCAGAATTCCTTCTCAATTCCCAGAATTTTTTACTTTAAAAATAACTAACAAGGCACCTCTTTTTGACATATTAAAACATTGGGGATAAAGAAAAGATTCTGAAAGTTTCTAGAAAAGAAAAACAGGTTACAACAGACTATAAATTGGAAAGTCTTTAGATTTAGCAACAGCAACACTGGAAGCTGGGAGATAATATAAAGTAATGCCCTCAAAATTCTCAGGGAAAATGACTAATCACCTAGAATTCACCAAGAGTGATAGCAAATAATTTACTTCCCATGCAGCCTTTTTCCTCAGGAAAATAGACTATATCCTTTATTGTGAGAGAATGGAACAAACCAAGACAGACTTGGGATCCCAGGAACAGAGGCTAACACAGGAGGGGCGAACAGGAATTTTTGAGAACAGCAGCTATGCATATTTTAAAAACAATCTGTCCAGATAAACACAGAAGAACAAAGGGCTCCAGGAGAGTTATCTCCAAGAAAAGGGGAGGGAAAGGAGGGAACTAATAGATTGTCTCAGGGGTCAACAAACTTCCTGTAAAGGACTAAATAGTAAATATTTTAAACTGTGAAAGCCATTCGGTCTGTTAAACTACTCAATTCTGCCACTGTAGCACAAGAGCTGCCACAGGCATAAGTATATGAATGGGTGTGGTTGTGTTCCAACAAAACTTTACTTAAAAAAAGAGAAAGAAAACAGGAGTGAAGGATTTGACCTGAGCCATATTTTGCCAGAACCCTTCCCACCTCACTGCCCCCGCTGCTTGGTACGTTCGGCCAATGAAAGGAGTTGGCAGCTCTGGTGGAGAATGTGGGGGTAATTTAAGTGGATTACATTAAAACCTAAGCAAAGGATTAAGGAAAGATTTTCTAGCTAAAACACAAAAAGTCTGAACCATAAAAGAAAAAAGTTGATAAAAAACTGGACTTCATCAAAATTAAAAACTCTGGTCTTAGAATAATACTGATAATAAATATACAGTAAAGGTAATGGATTATCACTTATAAAGAGCTAAAATGAAGATTAAACAACAAAAGTAGTAAAAATAAGTATAACTACAATAATGAGCTACAGAATACCCAAGAAATGTAAAATGAGATATTAAAAAACAAAACATAAGGAAAGTAAACACAGAGAGCTTTAGAATGCCTTCAGTCTTAAACAAGTTGTTATATGTAAGCCTCAAAGTAACCACAAAGCAGAAACCTATAGTAGATACACAAAAGATAGGACTCTAACCATATCACTAAAGAAAGCCATCAAGCCACAAAAGAGCAAGAAAAGAAACAGAGAGGAACTACAAAACAGCCAGAAAACAATTTTTTAAACTGTCAGTAAGTATATAACTATCAATAATTACATTAAATGTAGTAAATTAACTGAATTCTCCAATCAAAAGGTAAAGAGTGGCTGAATGGATTAAAAAAATAATTCATCTATATGCTGCCTACAGGAGACCCACTTCAGATGTAAAGACACACACAGACTAAAAGTGAAGGGATGGAAAGATATTCCATGAAAATGAAAACCAAAAAAAAAAAGCTATGGTAGCTATACTAACAAAAAATAGACTTTGAAACAAAGACTGTAATAAGAGACAAAGAAAGAGTCTTGATGAAAAGAATAGGATATCACATTTGTAAATATTTACACACCCCACATAGGAACACCTAAATATATAAAGCAAATATTAACAGACCAAAAGGAAAAAATAGCAATACAATAATAGGAGGGGACATTAATACCCCACTTAAATCAATAGACAGATCATCCAGACAGAAAATCAATAAGGAAACACCAGCTTTAAAAAACACATTAGAGAAGACTTTTGGTCAAGATAGCAGAATAAGTAAACACTGTGCTTGCCTCCTCCCACGACCACATCAAAATTACAACTAAATTACAGAACCACCACACTTGAGAAACACCTGAAAAGTAGCTGAACACAATTCCTATAACTAATGATATAAAGAAGCAGCCACATCAAGACTAGTAGGAAGTACAGATGTGAAACGTGAAACGTGAAACGTGAAACAAGCTGGTCTTATACCCATGTGGCAGTTAAGAACTGGGAGGGATATCTCAGCTGAGGAGGTCCCCTGGAGAAGCAAAGGGCACCAGCCCTACACTGGGGTTCTCAACCCGGAGCACTAATGCTTGGAAGAGGAGTCCCACAACATCTAGCTGT